AMMKWAAAWKRAWTWRRRGSCGAATTGTCTCAMTTTTGGAAACTTCAACTTTGGCGTAACGGTAATGTGAGTTCCGTAACGAAAAACCAAAACATCTTCACGTAAAAAACCGCGTCAAAATTTGCTCTTTTTACCCTACTATTAAACACTTTCCAAATTCACTCATAATTTTTTTTAATTTATGTAATATCTGTTTACAAAGCGAAAATTTCGCCAGTGAAGAACTTGTTGCGTTTCTACTGCATGTTTTATTTCACGGTTTCWTTTCAAATAGWGTAAGGTCAAATAACCCGTGAAATTGATATTTCACTAATAAAATAAACTTTAAACTAATTGCATTGTTTTTGTTTGTGTCTATTTGACAGTCACACTTTAATAATCAAAATTTTCTTTCACGGGTTGAATGACCTCACTCTACACTTTACGTAAAGCTTGCTTTGCTTGCCATTGCGTTCTATATCCTATGTGAAATAGCGTGTACATCCACTTAACTATCAGACAATGAATTTTATGGATTAGGAAGTTTTCATGAAAAGAAAAGAAAGTAAAAGACAGTTGGAAAAAAWTTAAAATGTTTTATCTCAAATTAAAATATTTTATAACGTTTCCGTTTCAAAAACATCAATAGCTTCAATAACAGAAAAAACCCTAGCCAGATTAATGAGAAAAGCGTCTCATCACAAACGTTTATGACCCAAATATGAGCCTCACTTATAAACAGAAAGAAGAAAAAGTACTCGAAGAGTCGAAAGTCCTGATGAAGCGATTTATTCATCACCAGGTTTTGAGTTTGCTGCTTTTGGTTTCAAAACCAGAAATCTTCAAATACGCCTCTACATAATTATCGACACTAACGTACWAAATTGTCAGAAACAAAAACAAAACAGAAACAAAAGCAATTGTCGGATTCCACGTATATTAGCCTTATAAATGATAATATTCTATAAGAAAAATTAACTCTTGCAAATAAAACATAGTCTACACGATGTATTTATATATATATGCCAACTTTTTGTAGCAGTATAGAGAATTTTTGGTTATATTTTTCAACCCAGTGTGTATTGCCAGCTTTGTGTTAGTTGTCSGTATCAAAGCAAAAAGGCCCGCCAATGTGTCTCAATGAAGAGCCTCAACTCTACGTCACCAGACCAAAAGATTCCACTTTTCTACAAAGCACCATAATATCAAAGACWTCAAAACTAATAATTCACAATCCTGAGWTATTTTGTGTTGACGTTTTTAGCAATACGATGGTTCGCTTCTTTAACAATTKWGCTGAGGCAACCGAAAAATCATTAGGCAATAAATTTCTTTGGTTTTAAACTAGTACCGTAAACATAAATAGTTCTAATTAAATCTACTTGCGTTGAGTAACCATTCACCGTTTTGAATACATTTTACTTACGGATTTATTCTTTCTTCTAGAGAAGTTCCGTAGACCAGTTTTCTGGGTGATATATTCGCTGTATATGTGTATATAGATTTCTGTGAATGAGGCCCGAGGGCAGTCAGTAGGGTCTCTGCTAATTCACAATGTTGCTTACCACACAACGAGCCTCAGGGCAGTAGCCATCAATCAACTCACCGCCATACAAAGCACCTCTTTGGATTTCATTTGTGGATAATGTTAAAACAGCACATGTTTAGCCCACTTCAAACTGTTAGAAATGAATGCATAGTTACCGAGCGGGAAGTCCTTCTTGTTTTTAAAAAKGTWTTACGAACGAAACGTGTTTTCAAACATCGATCCATGACAAACMAATCTTGCCTTGGGGATATATCTACAAAAGACACGGCTTAGATGGTTTGTCAAGGCTCCCTGGGGCTTGCCTAGGGGTTAACGATGCTAAATTAAAAACTGGAATCTATTATCGTTGTTATGAACTTTTGAAATCATGATTCTTGCTGTCTGTCTACGCCTGGAATATTGAAGCAACTGGTGATCTGATTGATTGACTAATTTACGATTAAAAYCACACAGTGGAAAAATGGTGGCTAGATGTCACAATCATATAGAGAGCCGGACAGCGAGGTTGAAAACCAAGGCTTACTTGAAAACAAAGTAACTAAAAACACCGCTCACAGCGACAACAAATTGACATGCGTGAATAACTCAGTCTTACAGTACAAAACMTTTTATTGCGACCTCAATGTTTTGAAGTTCACAACGATTGTCTTTTTCTGCGCCTTGCAGTGAAGTTTCAACCAATGAATTAGCTTCAATTCATCTGGTCAATATTGATCATAATCTMTTCAATACAAGAGATTTATATATAGATATTATCTGACTTAAATTGTTTCCAAGCCATTTATTTATTCCATGTCAGAGAAAAACCGAAGACTTTGAGAGTCCTCGCTGTTTGAATTGCCAATTGTGTTGTGTTATTGAAGCGTTTTAGCAATTAGGTGCTAATCTTGGCATTTATAATCATCTATGTTCATTATAATATATTGATTTTTTTCTCGCATCAAACAATTTTTTGTATCGTAAAAAATCATTCTTCTCGATGAATTTCATTCTCGATTAAGRTTTGATTAGAATTCAATGAAATAAAATAATTCAATAAAAACCACGATGGAGACATATTTGATATGTCAGGTTTTCGAGACGAAAAAAATAAACTTTTTTCSAAAGACAATCCTGAGCATGCGCTATCCGTACATCCGTACATGCAATTAAGAAACCTCTAATTTTTCTTACGGTTTGCATCTATATTTATCCGAATTTGAAATTTTTGAAAACGTCTCAAGCGTCTTAATGCTAGAAAGAGCTTCGAATACAACGACATGTGGCCGCAAAAACGTATTGTGTGGACAAGATGCGCGAAAAAAACCCTGTGTATTTTGACATCGTTTAGCGAAAAAAAGACACAAGCGCAACAGACATCCGCCATCTTGATATGTCTGTCAGATGCAAATTGAAAAAAAGACAAAAATATGATGTCATTAGGGACGGACCATTCWGTCCTTATTTTGGAGTGCTGTATAACTACGTCAAATTTCAATTCGGCGTTTTATTATCAAATAGCAAATTACATTATTATTCAAGTAGCAATCAATGCTTTCTCAGCATCAATAAACACGRCGTTAACTTTGAAGTCTTCACTTGTCCACTTCATCTTTTTCCTGAAATAACCAAAGATACAGTAGTTTATGGGGGAGTGGAATACCCAATCATCAACTTTTTTGAACTTAAAAAGCTTATTTACTTTCTATTTACTTTGGGAATATTTTATAGGGAGACGTTCACTAAATAGGCAGTGCGAAGCGACGCTATTTTTCTACATCAAAACATGATGTGAAATATGTTCGTAGATATATTGATATATCATTGCTGCCCGTTTAAAARACATATAATGAATAAGATCTGAAAGTTTCAATGCTCTAACATTTATGGACAACAAATTACAGGTGTTTGAAATTGCAAAGGTTTGAGTGAAAATCAGTATTGAGGCCTTAACAACCTCGTCTTCATGTTTTGGTGCGCTTCAAGTCCTCGTAGCTCTGCCAATATTTTGCCATTTGAAACTTAAATTRCGCCAAATCACTAGTTTAAATATACTCTTTATTACTGTGAAAACAGATTTTTAAAAACATGGACCGTTTAAGGTGCTCATTCCCAGTCTTCTGCTYGTTTTTCATATGRYCAATTCATTATACAAAACTAGACTATCGTTCTAGACTAAATGTTTTGGTGAYGTCATCAAATTAGCGTAGACCCTAATTTTATCTGAAATTTAAAGGCCGGGCATCCAGAGATACATAACCATGCGACTATTCTGTTTATATTAATTAGTTGTTTGGAACAAAAAATTCAATTATATAATAAAAAAGCAGGACACAAAGAACGAAGAATGTCACACTTCAATTAAGTAAAACATCCTTTTTTGACACTATACCAGGTTTCCATGGTGATGTAGTAATAGGTGTATTTGAAGGCTCCAAATCCATTGAAGTTACTGGCCACTGAGCTTGTATATGCAC